AGTTGGCCGGGAAGCCAACTCCCTTTTAGTCAAGCATTACTCAATATTTATAATCAGACAAATTAAAGGTACAGACATGTGATTAATGAAATAAGAAGTGCACACACATATACGCTCATATAAAAACAGTCTAGTTGATAAGCGAATAAATGACAAGGTCAAAATATGGCTCAAGTAAAATGAATAAAATAGGATGTCCGGAAGTTAGAATAAGGTATATGGGCTTGGCATGATAACTGACACTACATAGCCCCCTCGTAGAAAATAGCACATTTGAAAAAATGTCTGTTTTCGAAAATAACACTGAAGTGATATGAAGCTAACGTTAACAATAAGTAGCCAAAAAAAATTGTACAACACTCGATAAAGTAGTGTCACATGAGGGGTGAGCGTATTATATGAAAATGTCATGCTTATGCAAAAAATACATGAATATCGCAAAGACGCGGACAAAAATGGAAATTTTAGCATGTGAATATGAGCAAATTAATGAGCGTACAAAAAATTAACATGTACCAATGCTGTGATTGTCTGAACGATAAAATAACACGTCTGTATGAGTGATTCAAAATATCGTGAAAATAGTAATAAATTGTTTGTGGGTATGACAGGGAAATAAATCGTCAAAATGGCTAGAGTAGAATATGACAGAAATTGGTCTGTGATGGTGACGAAATAGTGAAATACGTTAAATATATTTTCTGTTGAGCCGCAGCAGAATAAATAGCATCGACTAGCGACGAGTGAATTCGAATTTAAATGCGTAGTTCCCATTCGTAGGATGATAATAGGCAAGTCGTGAAATGATATCTGCATCGAACGGTGATATTCGTTGCTGTACTGCAATTGATAATAATCATAAAATATAAAGTCAGTGAACGTTGTCGTCTGCGTTATGACAGATGCATTGAGTTATCGTTAAATATGTATTAGTAGAATGACCAGAGGAACAGAATAGTGACTGAGTAGACGAGGTACGTAGAGTCGCATTCCTTTTTGGTCATGAAGCCTAGAGTGGTTTGAGGGAGATGCACTCGATCTCGTTTGTTACAAAACCGTACCAAGGCATGACAGAAATACCAATACATATGATTAGCGATGGCGACTTGTGAGACTGACTTGGATGTGACGAACAAGAGTGTATCTTTGAGAGACTAGCTCTAAACTCTATGTTCTGATATGCAGTGCGATGGGAATAGAATAGTAGTTGCAGTACTCGAATAGCGTTTTTGAGTGATAAGTGATGCAGCATGTAGTTATGCACGTGAAAGAATAGATAAAATGAACGTAATGGTTACTAGTCAGCTAGTTAGAGGCATCCACAGACATAATGGTAGGCGATTTCGAAATGAAAAAGGTATGTTGTGGTAACATAAAATAATGACCTCGACTAAGTGAATGAATGTAATATTAGGTCAAAATGACATGGAAAAAATTGGAACGAACTCACTTAAAGCAGGAAAATTTCACGTTTTTGAATAGTAAAAATATCCCAATGAGTTCTCGTAAAGTGGAGTGGAATTTTCATAAAATGATAATTTGTTCGGTGAGTGATATGATTGTGAAAATGTCAATTTAGTGACAGCATGAACAAGATTAATAATTCCACATTCGGTCATGATATTGATAATAATGTAATAATAAGCATATAATGATAATTTGAATCGTAATTGAACAAACCGACGAATGGATCAATGAGGATAATTGACATGAGGACAAAGTATCGATAAGATAATACGACTTGAGCATGTCCATGTCATGTTGCACAGGCTGTGCTGATTGAGTCGGATTGGAGATTGCGCTGGCTTCGCTGAATTTGTTCGTTGAACGTATAGAGTGCAGAGGTGCCTTCATCGACGTAGCTTGCTGCGTTGCGTTCGTCGTCGGCGGGCTTACCAATGTAGTGATCCGTTGATCTGACTCCATTTACATTGTACGAATGATTGTTATCACCTATTCTCGTTTATCATCGTCGACTTAAATCACGTTAGTCCATAACGGAATTAAATAAGTCAAATAACGAGAATACATATATTTTGTGTGTAAAGTGAATGCGATAGAACAAAGCGAAAATGACGCGCAGGGAGGATGGCTGGGAAGCCAACTCCCTTTTAGTCAAGCATTACTCAATATTTATAATCAGACAAATTAAAGGTACAGACATGTGATTAATGAAATAAGAAGTGCACACACATATACGCTCATATAAAAACAGTCTAGTTGATAAGCGAATAAATGACAAGGTCAAAATATGGCTCAAGTAAAATGAATAAAATAGGATGTCCGGAAGTTAGAATAAGGTATATGGGCTTGGCATGATAACTGACACTACAAGTTCTATCATGTTCAGAGTTTACGTAGTTATCAGTGGACGTAATTCGCTTGTCATCCTATGGTGGGAGTTGTTTAAAGTTGAAAATGCAGGCTAATAAATTGTGATATGAATTCAATTGATGCTGTTTTATTTGTATCTTCCTAAATAACAGTGGGAAGATACAAGTAAAACAACAATAAGTGAATTTAAACTTCACCCCATTGCACAAACAAGTGGCTATCAGGACTCAGTAGCTGAGTGGATCACGCGATGGCGTTTGAAGCGAACGGTACTGGGTTCTAGTCGTAGAGTGACTATCAACTGTGACATGCCGGAATATCCAGCTGACGACTCGCAAGTAGGACAAAACGTGTGTCCTGGATTCCACTGCTAGCCACGATCCATGTTTATTTAAAGATTCTGACATGTTTTGAAATATTGTAAATCCCCTTAAGCTTATTGGAGCGTAAACTGGTCAGAACCGAACTGGGATCAAACAACTGCACAATACTCTATAGTTTTCAATACATTATTAGCAAGCTTTCGAATCATGGTGTTGCTGATACTCAAGAATGAATTCTTCGATAGTTTCTAATTTCATTTTTACGTCATGTTGATTGACTTGACAAATTTATTTTGCAACGAGTATAATATGCTGAATTTACCTAGATGAAATTCAGTCCACTTCATATCGCAGTTCCGACCGTTCTGTTCGAACTAGTGCAGCTTACTTAATATTTTGTAGTATTACATAAGCTGTTCGCTTATCATATGTGAAAACAAAGTAAAATACACACATTTTTAGAAACACTGTATCTTCCTAAATCGGTCCAACCATTTTGTTTCTTCTGGTTCATTCTTATTGTTCTTTTCCAGTCTAATCCTTTTCAGGTCCAACTATTATTGTATTGAAAAAGAGGAGGAACATCATTCTCAAGCCCGTTTTCGCTCTTGTGATTATTTACCACCCTACAGTAAGAATAATAAAGGCAACAGGAATTTTCCTTAAGATTTTACGATGTTTCTCATCATTTTATGACGACTCACTTCGGTTTCTTTAGAGTTGTTCATTTTTTAGCGTGGTTCATCGGCTTAATCTCAGAGAAATTGTTCACCTCTTTCTACCACACTCGACCACATAGACAGCAAAATGGTTATTATATCGCTTGAATTAAATTGTTATTACTATTCCTTACTGTTTATTTCTGTCCATTCTTGACTGAAGTTATTCGTTAGTCGTGCCTGTATTTGTGTAGTTCTGTGTTACTGTCCTCTATTTCTAATACAGACTGACTACAGTTTTTCTTTTGACATTTCATATTCATATAAGTTAATACTTGTTCCATCATTGATGCAGAATTGAACTGAGTCTGTTTTTTTATGCACACACATGCACGTAAACACAAATACGAACATAGTCACCAAAGAAGAACCCTTCAGGTTGACCTGAAAAAGACACTTTTTTAAAAAACAGTATGAATTACTCTGTTGTCTGCTTAACATTATTCCCATTCAGTTTGACCTAGCAATATGAGAGAATGTTCAGTTATTTTGTTGTATTAAGCCCATTTGCCATTGGCTTTAGTTCTTCTTTATATCTGAAAGAGATTTATCGATACGACGAATAATTATAAAAGTTGATATTAAGATATGGGTTGATGCATTTTTGTTTTTGTTTATTGAGTAATAAACATAAATGAGTTACGAAATTCAACCATGGTACTTAGCGTATCTGTAAATCTGAAAGATGAAGATCTTTACTGAAATAATAACGTAAAGAATAATTATGACATACGATAGTGTAAGTAAGAGTTGATAGATGTGTATAATCTTGATAACAGTCTATCAACAAGCAAAAACTAAACTAAAAGCAAACAAACATGGAAACCACTGCGTTTAAACACAAGTTAAGCGACCATACGAAATGAGAACAACTGCTCCTAGGATTGAGAGAAAATAATTATAATGATGAATACAATAAATGTTATATATTTATGTAAATATTTTAGAATAATACACGAACAACATGCGTTACAACATGCGCGTAGAAATTGCTGAGAACACAACTATTTACTGAATATTATTAAGTAGTATAAAAATAGACAAAAAAGAATGACTGGTGAAGTGGCGTCATGAAAGGTCAAAATTCAACTTTTCTACTCATTGGGTTAAAACAAAAATATATTTATTATTAACTTTCTATTCAGTGCTCAGTTTGTTAAGAAACTATCAAGTCCCGCCTTGGTATTGATACATACAAACAAAGAGGAGTTTTGGCGGAAAGAGAGTAAGGATACAGAACGAAATAAGCTTGACACCGCCTCCCAAAGACAGCATCTCTTTCCTTATTCTTACTGACTACACATTTAGTTTAAAGACATTCAGAGACGACAATGATGCAAGTTACTCTAGCTGCAGTCGCTCCGGGAATTTATTCTACGCCATACTACTCAATGTCCTGTCGACAAGTTTATAAATTATTTTGAGTCTGAGATGTTTGTTATAGAAGCCAAGGTATAACTTTTTCCAAAGTGATGATCTAGTGTTTTGTGTAAACAAAGAATGAGTTTTCGTTTGGCTAGCGTTATGTATTTTACTCGGTGGCTCACCCGTCTGTATGAGGCAGTCGGACTCACATTACTATGTCTACTATCATTTCCATGCACGCATCCGTATTTCCCTTTTGTCCACATATAGGCCTTGCCTACTTAATTTAAACCAACTCATCACTCTTCTTATTTTTTCATATCGAACGACGGTATCAAGTCCTACGAGAAATTATTGAAAGCATAAGACAGCCCTCGAAGTCATTTAAAGTTGACTTATGAGTTGGTATGTTAGTGGTTTGAAGAACAAATTTCCAGCTGTTAATATGAAAAGATTCTGATCAGTGGATAATATCCAGTGATACGATGTGGCCGAATGATGGCTATTCAAGACCAAATTATTAACGTAAGTCTCTGTATAACTTGAGATAAAAGACAAGACCTAGTCTGATAATCCCTGATGTTTGACGTAATTTCGACAGGAATTCAAAAATTCCTGTTGGCTAATATCAACTTATGTCTCTTGAGATGTAGTTAAGATATCCATCTACCAACTGAGGGACGAGTTGACTGCGCAGTAGTTCTGTACATCCTACTTTGTGAAGGATGGCCATTAAAAGTAGATGATATTCATAGGTTACTAGTATTCGGTCATAGGTGTCTTCGTGTGCTTTAGGACAATTGAGTTGGGGATTCGGATGTTAGACGCAGAGTACTAGGTAACGATGGCAAATCAACTGGCGATGTGATGAACATTTGCCGACTGAGACAATTCGAACACGTATTGCATATGCCCATTCACTGACTTCCACGACGTGCGATGATGTCTGGTGTAGGAATAGGTCGGAAGAAAGATGGGGTGACCGAACCAAGACATGACATCAATCTACGAAGGCACCAACTGTTGAACTGAGCAATGTGGGTGGGTGTATTGTCTGGTTGAGGTACATGCAATTATTGTAACCAATTGTAAGAGGATGAGTAACATGACTCAAAATCGTTCATAATGACTCAAGTGCGCTCACTCTTTGTCTCTCCTTAAATAATAAATTTCTAATTTCCTTAAAAACTTATTTCACTAAATGATATTTTCGTCTCGAACTGTATTTTCGATGCCTATCCTTTTCTATTTCGACTTGTACTGTTGATACCTGTACTACTATAGGATTCTCTCGGACAATTATATCTCGTTGCGCAATGGGATGTAGCAACATGTACCAGGTCCAACGTTATTAATGACCGATTGAATGATCAGCTTCCTCAAAATTGGAATACACCCTATCGGTGAAAGCCAGTGGGTACGAAATCTTGTTACAGGTTATCTTGTTGATTATTCTAAACATTTACAGGTGAAACTTATTTTAAGCTAAATTCAAAGATTAGAGTTTCCAAAGTTAATATAGTTAGGGACTTACTCAATGTTTACCACATATTATGAACTTCGATCTAATTAAATCCAAACATTTATTAACAGACTTATGTAATCTAATTTCTGTAACTTAATAAACAATTTTAATTTATATAATCCTGTGATACACTTAAACAACTTTGAGCGGATATTAATAGTTTTTATAATATTTATATTTAATAATGTCAGCGTTAGTGATGGCTGGGATACTACCCGGGTGCCCAAACCGAACCAGGTAGTTTTCGTAGAGGGTCACACCCAGAGTCTTTGATCTAAAAGTCTAATCCACAAGGCAGTGGGGCAATGTCAGGAGATTCAGTCCCATGGTAGCCGGTGACCAACGATTGGTTCATACGTCAATTTGTTTTTCCTTTGGATCCTGGAGCCCATGTACTTCATTGGTTTGGAATCAGGGTTTTCCAACTCCCCTAGGTGGTTACTCCGTGTCCACCAATCCGGTGTTCGTCCTCTCAATGTTGTAAACAACAACTCCACCGCGAGAAGACAGTAAGTAGGACTTCCCTGACAGTGGTTGTATGCACGTGGCCATGTGAGAGCATTCCGAGATGAATAGCTGACTCTGCTCACTCTCAGCTGTACCAGAGCATTTGGGGGAATTATATTAGTTGGATAATTTGTTTGAAATATTTTCAAGTTTCACTGAAGAAATTATGATTATAACATGTGAAAATGTATGGTTAGTAGTTGAAAAATCGTATAATAATACGTTTATGGATAATTTAAAACAATATGAACCTTTGATGAACTTTGATGAACTGATGTTTTATATTTTAAAAAACCTTACATAACGGTGTCTGAGAGTGACTTTCTAATATGATTAGACCTAAAAAATTAACTTCCAGTTATTAAATTCCGTTGTACTCAGTTGTTATGAATGGTATAAATGATTATATTGAATTAAAAAAAGAACCAGTTTAATCATTTTGAGATTTCAATTTGGGAGGCAAAATCCGACTCACACATCCGCGTCGTGCATCCTGGATAATGAGACGAGTAACTCATGAACTAACGTGAGCGGTAACCTACTCTACCTATACCCACCAACTCATTACGAACTCCACAGATGAACATAGTACAACTACATTTGGAATGGAAAAAGACAAAAAATTTTCTCGAAAGTGGTGCATGTATCATTTGGAGTTGCTCGTCACTGGACAAACTCCAAAGGATTGCAGGAACAACTATTCTAGCCCCGGTAGTTGTGCCGTGCTTTGATGTGGCCTATTTCTCTTCAGAAGGGCCTACTAGGCTTCATCAACTTGTTTGGCTGGAAGGGGGGAGATTTCAGTTGATAGTTCATAGAAGTAACTTCGATTATGAAGTGTCTTCTGAATGTGACCATTATATACGTTGGATGGTGAAGTTCCAAGTTTTTATAACCGTGAAAATCAATTTGGATTATTTAGTCGTTAATGTAACCTGAAACAGTTTTAAAGCTTAATACCATCGAATAAAGCTATAGTTTTAGATGATGGCTCATAGTTGAATCCAAGATGTGTAACTTATGTCAGTTAGTTAGGACGATGTACTTGTCTTTCACTGTTCACAAATTCCAAATCAAACTAAAAGCTTTTCCTGGAATTCACTAATCAATACTAATCAGACGTTTAATCTTATAAAATGATAGACTAATAAAATATAGTACTGTTTATCAACAAAGGAGTGAAGGTAAAATGATTGAAAAACAAACAATTTGTCAGTGAACAATTGTTTTCAATTATTTCATCATCATCATCAAGCTCTACAATTATAAGCCCATAATTATTGTGATATTCTTAAGAAGGTCAAAATAAGGCATAGCATTAATAAATTTGACGATGTTGT